GCTAAAAAAAGTAGCAAATAATTTTCTTTCTAGTACTGATTTATAAAGAGATGATTCAGCATTGAATTTGTTAATACTACAATATTCTATTTTTTCTCATAATTAGAAACGTCTGTAAAAATGTTAGGACCTTTATGATACATATAGGTAAAGGCAAAAAGGTATGTTTCTGAAGAATTGAAAAGAGTCTATTAGAAGGAAAGTGATCATTAAACCATGTAGCTTTGACTTGCACAAGTAGGTTCAACACAGGCAAGCATTAATTAAGGGGCTATAGTGGAGAGTTTTTATTTTTACTCCTACAGGTTTTCATTTAAAGTTGAGCAAATTAACACAGACACACACAACTCACATAGACTTGTAGTGCGGGCCACTGGCATGTGTATTTTACAAGAGTGGCTGAAGCATATGGAAATTTCTACCTAAATACGAAGATCCTGGATAAAATGCATGGATATGAGAAGGTGATAAGAGGGTGCCAAGAGCTGATTTTTCAAAGATCTCTTGAGAGAAAAAGTCTCTTGGCGCCATAAGACATTTGAAACACCCTCTCTTAGCATTTCCTCACCTATGAGATTTAAAATTCATACAGATACTAACTTTATATCTGTCTCTACTAATTCTTGCTCTTTACTGAAACCTTTAAACTGTATGAGCTTGTCAGTGTTATAACTTTGAACACAAGACAAAAAGACAACAAACACGGCAGACAAAAGACAAAACAACATAAATATTGAGGCCTCTTATAACACCTTTCTCCTTATTATTCTCAACTGTTCTTCATATTTCTGTTAACACGTTTTTCTTATTATTCTTACCCATATTTTAGACTCTTCTGAGTTTTAACACTTTTCCTATTAATAACAAAGGAGAATTCCAAAGGGAGCTGCAGGTTCTATATCAGCTTTTCTACTAAAAGGGCAAGACTATAGAATTCAGCATCTGACAAACAGGGATAGATATAAAAGCTCCAAATAGTTTTAATAAATTTCTTTCCCATAAATTATCACTAACGTATAGCACATAAAATTGCATTTGAGCCTTTTGGTCATCACGTTCTGCACAATCATAAGTATTCTTAGACCTTTAAACATTGAGAGAGGTTCCTAATTCAGAAAGAGTTAATGTTAATTTTTTGCAAAGGCCAATTAAGAGACTAATTATTTACTAATAACAGACACATTAGCTTTTATATCCGCAAGACCTGTAAAAGAAATTTGATTAACAGAAAAACAGAGGAATTTTGATCATTAATGTTGGTTTTTCCAAAACAAATATTTCTCAGTACTTCCAAATCCTATTATTTTTGATCTATTAATAGTAGGAAAGACATGATAAGCGAGAAGCAAAAGTTGAGCAATTACTTAACCAGTTTGTAGGAAAAGGAACAATATTTTTATTACTTCTAATGAAGAATTTAAGATACTAAGAGCTGAACAGAAGATTGCAAAAGCAGGTCAGAATGACAAAGCAAAATATTACAATGAAATGTGCGAGGAGCTAGAGTTGGAAAATCAAAGGGCTGAACTCATTCAGCATTTCTTACGCTCAAGGAACTGAAGGACAAATTCAAACCTAGAGTAGCTATAACCAAGGATGCTTTAGGCAGAATATTAAACGATTCAGGAAGTATTAAAAGAAGATGGAAGGAATATACTGAGTCATTGTATCAAAAGGAATTGGCAGATACAGAAGAATTCGGTGAAATAACTTATGAGCAAGAGCCTATGGTGATGAAGGAAGAAGTTCAAGAACAGCTAAGATTTTGTTGATGAAATTCTAGTAAGAAAGAGTAGTGACAGGAATTTTCACAGGGCCAAAACAACGGTAATAGTCATTTAAATAATCCCCTACCCTATGCCATTGCTTAGAATCAATAGTTCCTTCTTGCGGAAACCATGGGCAAACACCTTTTAAAAACAAGAAAAATTTCTTTAAATCTTTTTTAGTTACCCTTATACCTTGTGCCTTGAGGGAATCCCTGATACCCTTTACGGACAATTCATGTTCACTTAATTCCTGTCCCATAATTCGCTGCCCTTACCTCCTCTCATGCCTGTCTCACAGGGCGCGTAATCCCGTGGCGGCAGCTCCGTGCCTGTCTCACAGGACGAACAATCCTGCACCTGGAAACAGTGTGAGTCTTCATTTGTGGTCCCAGACTCACAGCGACTCAATGGATAGACTGGCTGGTCACTTCTAGCGGGCAGCATTCATCGTCCTTCCCTGTTCCTGGGCCCCACGTTGGGCTCCAATTATGTCCCGGCCCGCGGGGATCTTCAACTCTGACCCTTGGAGGGGAGGAACGAGAATGGGGGGGGG